CCCCAAAACCCCAAAACCCCAAAACCCCAGATCTCAATATATTAATAGAGTTAAATTTATTTTTAGATTCTAGAAAATGTCAAGAAAAGCAAGTCTCTTTAAGAGAATCAAACCTGAATTCAAGAGAAGAAAAAGCACGAGAAAGAAGAACACCGAGCAATCTGGATATGTTATTAACGCCATGACCAAGACATTTAACCATGATGTAGATTTTCTAGATAAATAAAACTGGCAAGGTGAGGTTCTCAAAACTCAAATATGATAAGCAAGACTTATTTGAAAATACTCCCATCTTCCCATACCCACCGCTCAATTTCAAGGAAGAAAAGAAGATCGGTTGGGGAAATATTACAAGGAAGGTGATGTCACCTTTTGCAGAATTTCGTAAAATCAAGATTTATAATCAGCAATCTCCTTTACAAAGAAAAATGAAGGATCGTAAATAACCTTCCCTTCTATTTCACTAAAAAGAATAATAAAAGGAAGAAGTATGTACTCATAATCTCAAATTTAGGAAAACTAAGCAGCAAAATCCAAAGATTAAATATAATTTTAATCAAGCTCTTCAGCAAATAATTAGCAATAGTTCTCTATACTCAGATAACTCTGCGAACAAAAGGTCAAGAGGGAATGCATCAAGGTCTTCTATGCGCTCAAGGAATTCAGATAGGAGTGCTACAGATGGGAATAAAGTTTCTGAAAATACCTCGTAGGGTTTAGAATCCATAACTTTAGACAAGAGAAAACTTCATTCAAGTCCAGGTTCCTCTCTGGATCAAGGATGTCAAATATGTCGATAAGATCTGTACATAAAGTCAATGTAAATTTTGTCAGAGATAGATTGAACACCTTGAAAATAAATACTTCAGATCCCATAAAAATTGCAGAGGTAAGAGCAAGAATGATCAGGTTTGGGAATGGCCCTCTAAACGTCTTCCCTCAAGAAACATCACACCGGGTTAGTGTTGTAACTCCAAAAGGAGAGATCATTGAGCAAAACTTAACAGAGGAAGTTCAGAAAGATCTCCCAAGTGTTCAAGGTATAGTTTATAAGTAATTTCTAGAAAATACTTCAAGCCAGACAGATAACAAGAGTCCGAAGCATGATAAGTTCAGCCAGAAGCTTCGCTCAATCTTCTCAAATAGGAGTCAAATCAAATAAAATCACTAAAGCAAACAAAGTAATTTGGATACTAACCAGTAGTTTCAAATAATGAGGAATATCACAATGAAACTTTCACAAGTCAAACCAAGAGGCTTTAAGCAATGTAGCTGTGAAGATGATGTGCTTTGTAGAAGTTGAAGGTAATTTAGACATAATCTTTTAGAGTTCGATCAAATCTTCATTCTAGAGCTGAATCACCTGCAATACCTATCCCAAAATCTAGGCTAGGAAGGCCTAAATAAGATTAAAGAGACAGATCTGATAACTCCTCTTAGAATAGAACACTCAAGAATCAAACAAAAGGCATTAGAGTTATTGAATAACTCAAGGTAAGTTTAAGGAAGTTTAAAGGAATATCAAATTACAAAGAAAAACAAAGAGTTTACAATCTTTTTGAATTATTTATCGTTATCCTTTTCTATAAGCTCATTAATAGCTTTTATAACTCAAATCTCTTATAGTCGTATAAACAACACCCAATTCAGCCGTAACTACTCCACCATCGCGCGTATACAAGACCTAAATCATCTCAATCGTACTCATAACATCCAAAACTCCTCAAAATCACCCACTCCAATTTTCAGAACATGACTTCATCCTAAGTTCCACGAGAAACTTAAATTTTAGTGAAACTAAAAATTCCAAATTTTGTTCTAATATTATATAAAATATCAAAATTATAAAATTTGGTAAGTTCAACTTCAGAGTGAATTGGAGGGGTTTTGGGGTTTTGGGGTTTTGGGGTTTTGGGG